TACACCACAAATTACAAAAACAACAACAGTTACAACAAAACGATATGAAATAAAACGACGTCATTCAAGTCATCATTCAAGTGAAGATGATGATAATGATACTGATGCTGCTGTTATTTTTATTGATGATGAATCAAAAGCATCTAATTTTGAAGATAATTTTGAATTAAAACGTGAAAAACGTCATTCATCAACTGATGATCATTTACCTAATATACCTGAACAACGTCCACCATTTGGTCAAGTAACATCACGTTTACGTATTGAACAATTACGTGATATTAATCGTCATGTTGTTCGTCGTCATTTACAAGATAATGATTATGATGAAGATGAATATTGTTCATCAGAAGTTTATGAAATTCATACACGTGGTGCATGTAAATGTATTGTTGTATCATCTGAAGAAAAAACTCAATATGGTAGTGAAACACGTTTTGAAAAACAACTTCAACGTATTGAACATACATATACAGATGAAGAATTAAAAGTAACTGAATTACATGTTCTTGTAGCAACATCAGATCAAAATTATCAATTAGTTAAACGTGATTATGGTGTTACTAATCAAAATCATATAGAAAAAGAAAATATTCATGATAAATCAAGACAACCATCTATATCAATACATTATTATACAAAAGATGGACAACGTATGAAAACAGAACATAATAGACATCTTGAACATTTACCATTAGTTATTCGATGTGAAATTGAATACGAACTTAATCATTATGGTATGTACTTGTTTTTCTATTCAATATTATCCATAGAATAGAATCCGAATCTCAATTTTATAATCTTAAAAATGTAATAGAAGGTCACCTTATTTGAATGAGTGTAAAATAACAATGTAAATAATCGAATAAATTTGTTGTTTAGTGATAACTTCTTTCATGAATCGAATTTCGTTTGTTCTAAATTTTTTTTCCTAACCACAGACAAGTTTGTTTCGTAAGACAAAAAAAATATTTACGCATTAGCATTAATGAGATATTGTTATTCAGGAACTGATGAATAGGAAATAGGCATGCTTTAAAATACCTTTGTATTAGAGGATTGTACAGAGTCTAGAAATCAAATGAAGATGCATGCATTTAAATCCTTTACAGTTGCAACACTGAGCAAAATAAAGTTACTGCTATGACACGCGTTTACTATCGCAGGAAATCTTGGCTATGTGCTACATGTGTTGGTGATACTAAAGCAAACGTATGAATTATCTTTGTATGTGTTATTCGCTAGGGAAGGATAATGTTTGATTCATAACTCCGTTACATGTGAACAGGTGAAGAGTCGGTTGATGCTTGAGATTAGAGCTTTATTGTTGCACGTAAGCATCTAAAACATTAGCTCAATATTATAAAGAATAGGTGTACTTCATAGTCGGCAGCTACTTTTCGTCAGAATTATACAACTCTTTACTGTCATAATAAAGTTCAGCAAATATATATAAACCTATATAATCCATTTTTGTGCATAAACACGGATAGAGTGTAATCCGAATTCAGCAAATTTAGTAAATTAATTTATATAAAAACCTAATAAGATATTTAGTATATGTAAGATACACTCTGAAATAATATACATTCCAAGTAATTTTGTAAAACATGATCGAAAGGATTTTCAAAGCGTAAACGTAGACATGTGGACTCTTCACAGATCGTGATAGATGCCTAAGCAATACTTTCAATGTTCTTGATTAGAGAGAATGGATAGCTTTCCATAATGTTCGACTTTCTGCAAAGACTCTTCATACATTCTGCCAAAATTTGCCGCCCTTCTCCTCTTGCTTCACAGACCATAATCAACATTGTTGGGATATAAAAGCAAAGGCAATATATCAATAACATCTTTTTATAATTCCTAATTGCATCTCTGAAAGAATAAGTAGAAAGATCGTGAAGAAATATGTCCCGAAATAGATAGCATGCAACAATCTCTTTGTGATGAGTAAAAGTAGCTACATTGTGTTTCACTTTTCACTTTTTCACAAATTCTGCTAACAGTTTTGCTTAAGAATACTTTGATAGTTTATCAACTTATCGAAATAATATCTAGTCAATACTATCTTTTATGACAAGAACAATAGTGAAAAGACATCTAATTGAAATACAATTAAATATTAATTTTTGATAAGACTAATAATAATGTATAATATATTGTTGTTTTTTTCTTGTTGTTGTTGTTTCTCTAGGTAGTGCTCAATTAGTAATATTATCTGTAACAGAAAATGAACGTCGTCAAATGAATACATCTCTTAAAAAAGAATTAGTTGATGAAATAGTATTACGTTCAGGTGGTCGTTTATCTAAAAATAGTTTGGAATTAGAAAATGAAATCACACGACAATTAGCTGAACCAACAGATCTTTTACATCTTGTTGATTATTCTTCACGTGATGATTATAATCAAACAAATTCAACTGATTTACGTCGTGTATCACGTATTGATGTAACAACATCATTACGTATTGTACAACGTTATCGTACAATAATTCATCGTCTTTGTCAATTATATCGTACACATATACAATTAACACAGCAAACTGAACAACAACGTTATTTAATATTAGTTGCATGTGATGAATATTATTTATTAGATTTAACATCACAAAATTCAACAATAACAACAAATATATCAGATATTCGACAACGACAACATGATATATTTAAACGAGAAGTTAATAATGTTATTCAACAACAACAACAACAACAGCAACAACATCATCAACCATTTGATTATGCTAAATATCGTCGTGATATTGAACAACAACAACGTATTTTAGAACAACAACATCAACAAAAAGAAATCGAACGAAAAGAAAAACATCAACAAACACATAAAGGTCCACCACCACCTGGACATCCATCAGAAGCTGAATTTTATCTTGGTTAGTTAAAAAACAAAAAGCTGTAGTCTTTTATTTTTATTTTTCTATTTAATTTAGGTACTGGACGTCGTGCATTAATTGAACGTGAAATTCATTCAATGCGTGAAGCTGTACGTCCACATGAACATGCTCCACCACATTATAAACATGAACCATCACGTCGTTCATTATCAATTAGTTATGGAGGTGGACAACGTTATATACGTGCACGTATTATTCATGTTAAAGATTTTTATGATGATACACAACAACAACAACAACAACGTCAACAAAAACAAAAACAACCACAACCAGCTAAAGAACAAGAATTATTTGTTCGTATTGATGATTATATTAATGAATCAGCAGCTGATTCATTACGTCGTGCATATTCAACAGATTATTTACAAGAAGATGGACCACGTTCAAGAATTCGTTATATACGTATACCAGGAGAAACAATTAAAATTGAAGAAAAAACAACTTATGAATATAAAGGAGTTATGTATGCAGATTTACCTTATTCATTAAGATATTGGAATATACTCTATATTCTTGATCGTGAAGCTCGTCAAGGTCGTCCACTTGGTTCAACACTTCCTCATACTATTGTTAATGATCCATATCGTCAAGTAATACCACCATTAACACAACATGAAATTCGTCAAACAGCTAAACAAATTCTTTCACCACAATATAATGGAAAATCATATACAGATCAAACATTACGTTGGTTTTTATCTCGTGATAATCGCACTGAAATTGAATCAGCTAAATATTTACAAACACTTGATCAATATCGTGCACAACAACAAAAACAACATAAAAAAAGTAATATTTCTATTCATAGTAATGAACAACAAGGAACAACAAATAGTTATTATACTACTGAAAAATTTATTCGTTATGAAAAAATGCCTGATCGACTTGTACCAATATCAACTAATAGTCGAACACAATCAACACAAAATATTCATCATCGTTCACCATCAAATCCTCATATACTTCAACCTCCTAATCTTCTTCAGAATAATATACAACGTCCTCAATCTCGTTCACAATCACATTATCAATCTTCAATATTTTCTCAGGGTTCAACTTGTCAAACACCAACACAACAACAACAACAACAACAACAACAACAACAACATCAACAACAACGAACACAATTACAATCTATGCATTCACCATTATCTCGACATCAATCAGTACATGAATTACATGCTACGCCTGCTTTTTCGCATCCACCTTCACCTTCACCATCATTTCATAGTTTACATAGTAATCAACATTATCATCCTAATCGACGAATAATACCAAATAATATTCGATTTCCATTACAACACCAGCAACAACAACGACAACAAAATGCTGTAGTAACAGAAATATTTGACAGTCAAACAGGTCGACATTTTTCAACAACTAGCCAAGAACAATTACCTACTGAAGTACTCGGTCTTTTAAATAAATATAATTTACAAAAATTTTAATAAATTCTTTTTGTTTTCTTGTACTTATTTCAAATTAAAAAAATAAATCTCATATCTATCAATTAGAGAACTAAAAACACATAATCTATGTTAGGAAATTATTCACTTTTGTTGAACAAATATTTTAAAATGACATCTTCAAATGAATTGAGACTCTCTACACATACATATGTAATAACCTCTTGATAAAACGAAAAACGTATTCTAATCGCATTTTTTTTCTTCTTTTTCATTTTACATTTCTTTTGTTATTCATTATATTTGTTCATTTTTTTTTGCGATTTTTTTTTATTCGATGAATATTATATTAAAGAATGTTTTTTTTTTCTAAAGAAACCAAATAAATATCTATATATTTAATCATATTCTGGATGAATTATATATATGTTACATAGTGAAAACAAAAGAGAAAAAAAAAATCATTGCATTGTAACAGAAGACATTGTTTTCATCCAAAAATATGTTTTCTTATTTGTATAAGTTCATTGCTATGTCAATGGTAAGTTTGAGAGAAAAAAAATCTTGTGAAATTGAATGACATTTGAATCTTAATCAGTTAAAATATTATCGAAAAATCATAGATTGAAACGAACAGTAAAAAAATCTAATAGTAATAATAACAGATTGAAAATATCAAAATGCAAGTAATACCAATCGTTCGTCCTTGCCATATACTACCATCATCAGAACGAGATACTTCTGATTCTGAAACAGGTTCTTGGTCATCGGCTGACCGTGTTGATACACCCGAACCACCATCACCAGAACCAAAATTACCGGAAAAAGTTCCTCAAAAGTAATTTTTTTTTATATTTTTATTTTTTGAAAATAAAAAAAAAAAAAAACAAATAGAAATATTTTGTTTCTTTTATTTCTCTTAGAGTTCAAGAATCTATTGTGGAATCATCTATTAAGAAAAAAGTAATTATAGGTTTAAGTATTGTTGCTGCATGTGTAGTTATTACTGGTATTATACTTTGCATTGTTTTACCTCTTACATTAAATAAAGGTAAACATTAGAATTTTCTATAAAATTTATTAGATTTCAAATTTTCGTAATGTGTTTTAGATTCGACTATAACAATTTCAACTACGCGAGCTACAAGTACAATTATAACTACCATTCACAGTAAATAATAATGGAAATTTCGAATCATATATTGTTTTCTTACTAATTTTTATAATCTATTAATGAGTGTAAATAAAAAACAAAGTTTTGTATTTACCATATATATCAATTTCAAAAGTTCTGAAACAATTTTATATATTTATTGTTTGTATATTCGATTGAAGTAAATCTTTTTTTGTTTTTGGCGACTTTTGCAGATTATTCTACCTATTTACTCTAGTACCACTAAATAATTACAAATCGATAGATGAGAAATTGGAACAATATTATCACAAACGATTTTATCAAGTTTCTAATTAACAATGCTGATATAAATAAGTTTTTTACATAAAAAAAAAAAAGAACTCTTTATTTTGTTTTTATTGATGTTCCTCTATCAAATTATCATATTGATATATAATGAATGTTAATGGTGCTAATATTTATCGGTTATTTGTTGATATAGAGAAATGTAAAACCTGTTGTAATTCGTTACAATGTTTTTTTTTTCAGTTCTTTAATGCTATTGTATTTCTACGCTAATAATTTCTTTTTTTTTTAAATACACTTTACATATATTCTATAGGTAAAATGTTGACTAATTGTGTAGTATAATATTGCTTAAATCTTTCGATTGTTCTATTGCTAATCTTTATATCTTTTTTATTGATGAACATTGAAACGAAACTATGTTCATAAAGAAACAAAGTACTGTTTTTTCTTTGGCATATGTTTCATAAAAAGAGATGAATAGAAAATTTGTTGAAGTCAAAAATAAGAATAATTTAGTTTTGTTATGTTGTAAAATATTTAATTTGATTATGAAGAAATTTGATTAGAGTATTTCGAGTTCTGATCTGTAAATTTCGGACTCGAAGGATTCTAAATATGATTCATTCAAATTTCTCTAATTTCAGCATTGTTTTACACTTGAATAGTAATAATTTCATAAGAGTATTAAAAATGATGTTAACAATACAATACGAATTATTCAATAAACGTGATCTAGAAAACTTTTCGTCAACATATCATATCAAAAACTATTTAAAAGAAAACTAGATCATGTGCATTTAGAAACTTTCTCTCAGATTATAAAACAAACTATATTTTTCCTGATTATATGGTAAAATGTTGCTTAGATCAACATATTATTGAGAAAAAAAAACAATTATCAGAAATTGAAGTGAAATTTGATTTCTAAATAATGCGTGTTTTACTGATCTCTGTCTAAACAAGATTCATTACCATCTTCTATAACGAGTGGTTTATAGTAACTTCAATTATTTTCACGAACGTTGCACTACCGTAATTTTTAGAAGGTTGATATCAACTAATATGCATTTTATAGAATCAGAGCATAGTCATTAAGAAAGTTCTAAATATAAAACATATGAGTAAGGTGTTAAAACTTAAACAACAATATAGAGTTGTGGCAAAGTATGCTTCGTCACAATTCTATTCCTTTTTTTGTTGTCTCACAATATGAAAATTACTCCTCTCTCTGTTATTACTGCATGATAAAATCTGTTCGAGTTGAATTTTGGGGATCTGGACCCAGCAAATTTAATTCTTCTCAGTTATCAATCTAAACCTAGTTCCAGGCCGTCTGAAAAGAATGTTTTAAATTCAACTATACATCTCTAGCGAATCTGATGGACTCTACTACATAATAACAAATATTCATAAATCACATAAACTTTTATGAACATTATTAACAATATATAGTTAATTTTAAATAGCGATTCAAATACAATAGTTTAAGTGAATTAAAAAAGACATTTCAGATCAAAGATGCATTTGGTTCGGTTCGATTTAAATTGTAAAAAATAATAATGAAATGATCAAATACAAAGATTTTCATAATTTTTCTTTTATCGACATATAAACTTTGGATAATACATGATCTTTTACTTTCCTAATCAATGAAAGTAAAATAAAATACATCATACTTATTGCAATATCATGTAACACATGCTTTTTAATATAATATTGTAGTGTAGAACCAAAATCGATTTAATTTTAATCTACAAGAAAATCTATCATATTGATTTCTCTAATTATCTAGTTGAACAAAATTTTAAAAAAAAATCATATATTATTTAAATCTAGAGTGTTTGAAGTACAATAAAGTGCTTAAAAAAAAACTAACAAAGTTTCTTCATATTTCATTTGCATAAAATATTAAAAAAAAGTTTTTGGAAAAAATATTGATATAATTCTTTTCATGATTAAATATATATATATCCTATAAAAGCAAATATAGATGATAAACATTTACATGTTATTTTTCTTTTTATGTTGTTCAAATACATCTTTAATTTCTTCAGTTGTTGCTTCTTGCTCAGGTGTTAAGCCATGTCCATTACGAATATTTATATTTGCCCCAATCTCTAATAATAATTTCACTATATTTGCATGTCCAAAAAAGGAAGCTGCATGTAGAGCTGTACTGCCGTTTGATTCTTCGATTCTATTGACATCTCTCGTAGACATTGTTTTTAATAATCGATTCACTTTCATTAAATCACCTTGTCGACATGCCATATAAAAATCACTTGCATTTCCCTTGCTGTTTGATGGACGATTTGGATCAGCAGCCATAGTGTTTTAGAATCAATCGTGAAAAATGAAATATTTTCTTTTTCTTTTTTCCTATTTTATGATTTGAATTGAAAAAGAAAATACACGACTACCATAACTGTATACCTTACTGTGACTATACTCTATTTGAAAAAGATTTTATTTTGATTGTGATGTCTAATGTGTTCTTTTCTTTTTATTTTAACAATTATAAATACACCGACAACAAGTGACATCAAGCGACATTTTAAAATCATCAATTCAAGATCTATACTCATGGAATAAATTGTTCATATTGAATTATACAGAGTATTATATTTCATTTTTTTGTAAAGCTATTGACTCAAAAAAAAGGACGATTTATTTCATAGAATAATTTTCTATTTGTTATAAAATGTTTGTATAACTTGAATGTATGTATGAGCCATTTCAAGTACCATAATGGAACATATAGTTACCTTTCATTTGACGTTGATTCTTTATAAGAATTATTTTTCAAAATAAATTCTTTTACCATAGACATATGTAAAAATGTTGACTTTTTCAATTGATTATTAATTTAAAAAAAGTGATTAGGAACTATCTTTCTAATCAAATGAGAAAAAAAATTGGAAAATTTCAGGATGAAATCTACGACATGTATCATATCTATAGTGAAATTTTTAACAAGATCAGACTTCGAAAAACTTCTTCTTAAAAAACTAAGTTCTCTACAGATCTTGTCAAATTCTAATGTATAAAATTTTTCTCTTACTTTCATCTAGACATGAAATAAAAATTGATATCATTTTTTATGTTAAGCCAATAATGTTAATTTTTTTTTATTGATAACTTCTATGAACACATGTCTCTACTGATAATTTTTTACGGGTATTTCAAGTAATTCAACATACATATAAGACATAAAAATTAGCTTTAGGAAAATTGATTATCCCGAAATAAACGCTATTTTATTTTGTGAAGTGACATCCTTAACAAATGATTTCGTCCAAATGTTGATAGTATGAAAGTTCTTCTTAACAAACTCTTTTTTTCAATCAATTACAAACGAGTCTTATGTATTATTATATTTATTGATAAAAAAGATTCTTATGTAAGCTTGAACATAGATCTATCATCAATAAGAGTCTATTGTAATTAAAACAAGATAATAAATTGGTCTTTCTTTGATTAATATGACACTAGAAGTACTCGTTATTGTAAGTTTTGTCGTAACAATAGAATTTCCAAAACATGTTAATCGAATTCAATCGAATCAATTATATTAATATACAAAGCAAATGGAGACGAGTAATTCTCAAAGGAAATGATTTTATTCACATTTCATAATCAACACATGGATCTAACAAGACGAGTAATAAAGAAAAAGAAAATGTTATTATTAAGAATTTTAACAATTAGCATTGCAAACATAAATCAATTGACGAATGAATTTCATAAGAAAAAAAACAAGTCTTATCTTACTAAATTATATCAAATAAAATTAGTCTATACAATATAATGCATAAGTATTGTTTGGATGGTATGAAGTAATCCCAGTCAACAAATTCTACAAAAGTTAAGTAGTTATCGAAAGGAAACACACTTTGAATTTAAACTTATCTATTTCAATCAATTCTAGTCATTAATTTCATAGAGAATGTTTTGGAATTTTGAACTCTCTATAAATTGAAATAATATAAATAAAAATATTAAATTTTTCTTTCGTTTACATTTTCATAACAGACGTATAATAAAAATGCATTTATCACAACAAATAACAATGATATACATTCAGTTTACAATCAGTTTATTGAGTACGCAAGACTTTGTACCTTGACATTTTCTCTTTCAAGATTTTGACGTTTTTACTCGAAATATACATAAACTATTGAGATTTAATTTTGATAAATTTTTTAGTCTAAAAATTTTAAAAACTAATGACATATGTTTTTATATTTAATGACGTCAGTATGTAATGAAGAATACTGTCAAATTCTACATGACAATGCACTTTTTTTTTCTCTTTCTTTCCCTTTCCTTTAAGGAATAGGAACGTCAATGAAGTCCTTTTGCGTACGTATTCTCAAACGACTAACGAACATTGGCTCTGATTGGATAACGAATGAGTACAAATTGAGTCACGTAAATAAGTATTTTTTTACTTTTTTTTAACAGAAAATGGTGAGTATTTGGGAACGGATACGTCAGATTTGGATTCCGACGTCATCTGCTCGATTAGCTGAAGCTGAACGTCGTGTATTAACAGTTGTTAGATATCCATTTGAACAAAGTCAAATACCTATTGGTGATGAATTAACCATAAATACGATTCATACACATAATCCAAAAGCACGACGATCAACTACAAGACCACCAGTAGTACTTTTACATGGTTTTGGTGCTGGTATTGGTTTTTGGTTACTTAATCTTGATGTATTAGCTGAACAACATGAACATGTTTATGCAATTGATTTACTTGGTTGTGGACGATCATCACGACCACATTTTCGAGCTAAAACGTCAAATGATGCTGAACATTTTTTTGTTGATGCTCTTGAACGATGGAGAATTCAACTTAATCTTGACAAAATGATTTTACTTGGTAAATTATTTTTTGATATGTATCGAAAACGTATATTTTAATATTGCTTTCGTTTTTTTTCACTCACTATATTATAGGACATTCATTTGGTGCCTATATTGGTGCGTCATATGCTATGTCACATCCATCTCGTGTTTCACATTTGATATTAGCTTCTCCTGTTGGTGTACCAAAAGAGACTGATACACCTGAACCACCCCGCCGTCATCAGCTTTCACTTGGATGGCGTCTTATACGTAATTTCGTTGTATTTTTGTGGAATCGTGGTTATACACCTCAATCCATCGTTCGACTTATTGGTCCAATAGGTCCACGACCTGTTACTGCATATGTGACACGACGATTTTTAATTGGACCAGCTGCTGAAGATACACCATCAACAGCTAGTGAAGCAGGTCTTGAAACATCAGCAGCTATTGCTGATCAAATTGATAAAGGAACATTGAAATTACCTAAGGATGACGTAGCTCAATATCTCGTATGTTATATCGAAATTTTAAGTTCGATTTATGAAAAAACAAAAAACGGATCTATTTTTTTTTAGTATCATTTATGTGCACAACCAGGCAGTGGTGAATTTGCTTTGCCTCGTGTTCTCAAATCAAATGTTTTTGCATATAATCCATTAGAAAATCGTTTAAAAGATAGTGATGTTTCACGTGTTACATTTTTCTATGGTGATCATGATTGGATGGATACAGCGTAAGTTTTAATATTAATTTTTATGATTTATTTGTTTTTGCGATTGATTTTATATTTGAATAGAGCTGGTCGACGAACAGTTGACTCACTAAATAGACGAATAAATGGTTCAAATTCAGCTCGACTTATTGTTATTCCTCGTGCTGGTCATCAAATGATGATTGATAACCCAGATGGATTCCATGATGCTATTCAACAAGCTTTGGACGATGATGAAAATTAGAAAAAAAAAAAAAAAAAAAAAATTATTAAATTTATTTTTCTATAATAAATTTTTTCAGTCCAGCAATATAATTTTACTTTTCAGTTTTTTTAATAAATAATATAAATCCTAATGATGCAAAACAGAAATTTTTATATAGACAATGTTCACGTTTTAGAAGAGTCATTGCAGTAGAAAACACATATATATCGACTAATAATAAACAATATTTACTTCACTAGATGTCTCTATTGAACATGAAAACTTAAGCAATCTGCATAGATGTCTAAAAATTTCTCAACTAATTGTTTTATTCTTCTGTAAGGACATCGACCGGAGACATGGCGTAATCATCAGGCTGTGTATGTATATATATATATATATATATATCAAAATCTCTCTCATGGTCGTAGTCATCTTTATTGACAAGTATTTCGTCATTATTTCTTTTTCTATTTTTAGATCCTTTTCTCTATTACCATCAAATAAAATCAGATAAAAAAAAAAAAATAAAGTTCATATAGCAATGGATCTAACATCGGGTCCTGGATCGTCTTTACATATGTCATCAAAATCTGAATTTTTAATCGGTGGAAAATATCGATTAGTACGTAAAATAGGTTCAGGATCATTTGGTGATATTTATTTGGGTATAAATATAACAAATGGTGAAGAAGTTGCTATTAAACTTGAATCAATTAAAGCACGACATCCACAATTATTATATGAATCAAAATTATATAAAATTTTACAAGGTGGAATTGGTATTCCACATATACGATATTATGCACAAGAAAAAGATTATAATGTTCTTGTTATGGATTTACTTGGACCATCACTTGAGGATCTCTTTAATTTTTGTTCACGAAGATTTACTATGAAAACTGTTCTTATGCTTGCTGATCAGGTATGATAATTATATATATATATATATTTCAATAAAATTTTAATTTAAAGAAAAAATATTATTTCTTAAGATGATTGGTCGTATTGAATTTGTGCATAATAAAAATTTTATTCATCGCGAGTAATTTATATTGTTGTATTAATATTATTAATCTTTTGTGTTTTCATTATTATTTAGTATTAAACCGGATAATTTTCTAATGGGCATTGGTCGGCATTGTAACAAGGTTAGTTAATTATGAATAAAATTTAAGTAATTTTAGATAGAATTTGTTTTTCTTTTTTTTTGTCTAGGTATTTTTAATTGATTTTGGTCTAGCTAAAAAATATCGTGACAATCGAACTCGTCAACACATTCCCTATCGAGAAGATAAAAATTTAACAGGCACAGCTCGTTATGCTTCCATTAATGCTCATCTTGGTATTGAGCAAAGGTTAGATTCAATAAAATTATTTTATTTTATTTTATTTTATTTTATTTTAGTCGTCGCGATGATATGGAATCTTTAGGTTATGTTTTAATGTATTTTAATCGTGGTTCATTACCATGGCAAGGTCTTAAAGCAGCAACAAAAAAACAAAAATATGAAAAAATATCAGAAAAAAAAATGTCAACACCTGTTGAAATTCTTTGCAAAGTAAAAATTTTAACAAAATACTTACATTGTATTCTTATGTTTTTTTTTGTCTTTGTGACAACAACAAAAAAAAATAAAGGGATTTCCAGCTGAATTTGCTATGTATTTAAATTATTGTCGTGGTCTTCGTTTTGAAGAAGCACCTGATTATATGTATTTACGTCAATTATTTCGTATTCTATTTCGTACATTAAATCATCAATATGATTATACATTTGATTGGACTATGTTGAAACAAAAAGCAGCTAATGCAGCGTCATCAACAACTGCAGCAACAGCTACAGCTGGTCTCAATATGGCAACAGCCGGTGGTACAGTAGCACCACAATTAACATCATCATCAGCACCAATGGCTACTGTAATGGCAACAAATACAGGCAATAATGGAACGACTCCAGGTAAAGGAGAAAAAGCAGACGATGGTACTGATCACGACGAGAACCCAGCACCAGCCACATATTCATCAAATGGACACGACTGATAGAAAAAAGTAGAGAAATATAACTATACGATAGCATACTCAACTAACTGCCAGAATTTCGCTTTATGCTTGCTACCTTATCGCTTTTTATCTAGTAGGTGGTAGACACTTAATGATTTCTTATTGTTTTTTTTTTTTTTTTAATTTTAAAAGTTTGAATTTTTATTAATGGTTTTTCTTTTTTTTGTCTTATTTAGACTTGCAAAACATGAATAACAACGATTGAAAGTGTAGAGTAACTTGCGCACGTATAGCAGACCAAGGCAACTTCATATCATATCGTTTAACGTTTTTTTTTTCTTCTTTTTTTTCTCATTATCTGTACTTGCTCTTGCTCTTTTTTTTTCTTCATGTGTCTCTTGATCGAAAATGTAAATGCCGTCGGCTTCTACTTCTCTACTTTTTCTTCTATTATTTTGTCTTTGTCTTTTTCTAATGATTATGATGATGAACATGATCGGCAGCAGTGAATCGTTTTCAGAAAAAAAAAAAAAACAAAATTCACAAGATAAACTTGAATATATAAATATATATATACATATATATACGTAAAACTGATTTATGTATAATAGAATTTTCGACTAAAATTTCACTTTATTTTTCATTTTCATATCGAAAATTTTCTTTCATAAATTATGTTTTGAACATATTTTATTGTTTGTCAACTAAAGTAATACATGATGAATTAAATTGAATTTTGAACCAGTAATTTTAATGAATGATGAAAAAGAAACTACCGATTACATTCATACACTGTTTAATTTAATGAAATCCATTACTCGACTAACACCAATCATTCAAAATCAATTGGTTTTTCTTCTTCTTCTTCTTCTTGAATATTTGTAACAAAAAAAAAAAAAAGAACACTAGCATGATTTTTTTTTGTTTGTTTGATTGATTGATAATGAAATCGAATTGTAATTTATTTTGTCTAGGAATACTTTACGTACAGAAATCAAAACGAAATAAATAACCATGTGTCATCGTTCTACGTGAGTGTATGCTTTAATTAATGATCATAACATGTGTCTGACCGTATCTAACATAACATGAAGGAAAGAAAACAAATTTAATCGTTCGACATGTTTTGACTACGCAAAACAAACGTAAAACCACAAAGTCATATTGAAAACGTTTTAGCTAATTACATTTCATTTCAATGTTAATTTATTTTTGTCAAATCGAAAAAGTAATGAAGAACTACCAGACTAATCAATTTATCATATTATAAAATTCATATCTAGCTTTACAAAAAACAAAAAAAAAATCCAAATTTATAACTTTAAATGTACAAATTTTATTTTATTTTATTATTACAAAAAAAATCAAATTTAGACTGAATATTTTTATATTTGCATAAGTTATGAATTGATAAAACAAAATATTTCCCAAGGCTTATAACAGATGACTCAAAAAATATTCCACACCATCCTTCAAACAATCAACCAATTGTAAACTCGACATATGTGTGGTTACATAATACAATTATAAAGTATTTGTCATCCTATTGATGTCAGTATATTATATAATTTGCTTGAGAAAATAAGAAGAAATTATGTCGTTGTTCATATATTCATTCTATTCATTCTTTATTTTGATGGTAGTATTACTACAAATGAACAACTCAATGGTATTTGGTAAATCTCTTCAACAATGTTCTTTATCACCATTGACAGGTTATTATCGATCAGGTATGAAATTGTTGAAGTAAAATTAAAACTTATTTTTGATTTTTATTACGAAAAAAAAAAAGAAAAGGTTCATGTGAATGGCATGATTCGAATGATTATGGTATTCATACAGTATGTGCACAAATGACATGTCAATTTCTTGAATTTACTCGTTCACATGGTAATGATTTATCAACACCAAGTAATTCTAGTCAATTTTCTGGTTTACGTGAAGGCAATCGTTGGTATTTATGTGCTGGAAGATGGAAAGAAGCTTTAGCAGCTAATGTAACTCCGCCTGTTATTCTTCGAGCAACACATCATATTACATTACAATATGTTAAATTAGACGAACTTCGAAAATATGCATTTTGTAACAATAATCGCCGTCAAATTAAAAATAAAACATAAATTTTAATTTTTAGAAGATGACTCAATGCATGTGGAAATATAGTTTTTTATTGAAAATTTAACGAAAACATTAATCATTACTAAGCATGAAATTAGAAAGTTCTTTTTCTTTATTAGTATTTTTATTTACGGTGACAAAGATTTTTTTTTTTTTGTTCTAATTAAGTTTGAAATAAAATTTTTAAAGAACAATTTAGAACAAAACTAATCATATAAATTGATTTAAAGTCTAAAATACAATTGAACAGAAATCTAAATTGAAATAAATAATAGCATTCTATGAAACAGATAATAGAATGTATTTTTCAAGTTTATTGTAATTGTACCTGAAAGAGTTTTTTCATGGACATCTATTGTTGTAAAGAAGGTCCTTTAAACAAAACCCTTTTTTATCGTTAAGCAATGATATAATGTGAAAATTAAATCATTCTTAATCATAAAGTTCATTCCTTTGTATGAAAAAAAAAACTTAATTACCAAGAGAACCTTGAGCTTTGATTCCAATAGTTAATTCTACTCTGTAATGATATACTGCAGTTCGATTAGAGATATGATCATTACCACATGTATATCTGTATATTTTATAAATAACTAATTACTTAAACTAGTCATCAAAATATAAACAAAGTATACATCTATTCATGGTGTTCTCAATAGTAGTAATCATTACCATGTTTGACAACTAATTGAGTACCTAAAGTACTTCGATATATAGTATTGACTTTCTTAGATTGTGATCAGTATCTCAATACTTTGATTTTATCATTGAAAATTATTGATAAAAAAAGAAAAAAATACAAATCAAAATTTCATTTTTAATTAATCAGTCATTATAATTCAAATATTTGGCAAGCATGTTAAATAATAGCAAAGTCAGATTTCATGCAAATTCGCTTGTATTATATGACAAACGATCTGGTATAACTATTTTGCTCACGTCTTTATTATCAAGAATGTCAGTAGGGATTTGTTCCGGCATTTTTCGTAGAGCTACATTTTCAAAAAAATAAAATCAAGATTTTATCATTTATCCATGCTGACATAAATGAAAAATAAAATGTGTACAAACATTTTGGAAAATTCGGTATATTATCAATTTTCTTCATTTGTTTTTTTTTTTGAAAATAATTTCATATTAAAATTTTAGCACATTCTGGTTTTGTTATTATTAATAAATACATCTAATTTACATTTAATAATATTAATAGAATCTAATTGAAAAATGCATAACAGTTTCTTCTATATACTTTACATAATGTAATATTATTTCTAAGTTATACTGAAGTCACTAGATTTAGTTCATCAATCTCATTGAATAACTTAAATATAGGAAATCAAAATATGTAACTGAAAAAAAAAAGAAGTTATTTATGGTAAATTTTGAAGAGTTTGATCTGTGTACGATAGTTTTATTTTTTTTACACATGCACTTATATAAAGTCAAGTATAGTTTTTGTATTTATTTTATAAACATCACGAAATGAACTTGAAAAAGAAATTAAACATTTGATGTTAATAAAAATTAGTAATGCTTCAAATTAATCCTTTGTAATTCAATATAAATAAATGAAAACATTAATTTTTGACATTCTTACCAAATCGTTTCTTCGAAACTGAATATTTTTTTTTTAATGTTAGAACAGTTTCACTTTCAATGAGAGCATTATACAAACTCATTAATCATTTATAGAAGTTTATTGTAATGAAAAGACAAATTGATGTATAAAAGAATATTTTCTTTTAAGAAATAAATCTATATTCTGTAAGTTTTGATAGATATTTCAAAATGTTTCTAATAAGAAAAGTTTCTTCTTTACAAAGTAATACAAATAGAAAAAAAACTATGAAACGTTTAGTATTTTAATCAAATGAAATAATTCTTCATTGAAGAATTCTACATAATAAATTTATGATAATATCATTATGATATCAATTAAAATTCAATTATGAATTTTCGAACGAATTTAACCTTAGATAATGATTTTACTACCAGTGATATAATAAATTTTTTTTTTCTGCATTAATCAACAATATTCAATCAACGGAATGAAACTATTGTTTTACTAGAAAATAGCCATATGCTGGATATGATTTGTAAAGTGTATCAGGCAGCATAAAATTTTATTTGAGTTATGATATCTTGCAAAAGATATGTTTCTTTTGCATATCATGAGTCAAGGCAAAAAAAATGAAGATTGACGAACTCTTATCATTTGCGTCACTATGTGTCAATATTCAACACTTCTAACCGTTACCTTAACAATCAAAAGAAATATTTCGTATATAAATTCAAGTCTTCACTTAATATCTCTTCATTAATTTCACATTAATAATTATTACAACATCAATATTTTAAACAAAATTATGCAAGTTTCAATTATTTCTCTTATTTTTCTTGTCGGTTTTGTTCATGTATGTTTATCTGCAACAACTCCGGAATGGATAGGATTCTACAATGTTGATAATAGCTGTAATCAAGCCACATGTTGCTGTTTATCTGAACAAGTCAAAATTACCAAAGCTAATAATACACATTTTTTAGTTGAAGCTAATGTTGCCGGTGTACCATGTCAAGCACAACTCAGTGGAGCAACTACAATATCTGTTCCACTTCTAATTCCTCAAGATAAAAATGGTTTTCAAATAACAACAATGTTTCTTGGTACAAACAATCGATTTACACTTAGTGCCGATAGTCAATATATTGCTCATGCTAATTTACAATCTCCCCAATGTAGTGGTAGTGCACGACGAGCTGTTAGTAATTGGGTAGGAACATTCAATATTGATGATAGTTGTAACCAAGATGAATGTTGTTGTTTATCTGAACAAGCAACTATTAGTAAAAAAAGTGAGACACAATATTTAGTAACAGGACGTGTAGCTGGTAAACCATGTGCAGCACAATTGAATGGTTCAACTACAGTTGAAGTAACTATTGGAGCTCCTCAAGATAAAAATGGTTTTCAAATAACAACAAATTTTCTTAGTACTAATAATCGATTTACATTAACCTATGATAATCAATATGTTGCTAATGTTAATTTACAATATCCACAATGTAGTGGTATGGGACGACGAGTTGATGAAAACAAAAATACAGCTTCATTGATTTCATCATCATTGATTCTTATTGTTATTAATGCTTTCTTATTTCGTATGATTTGTGTGTAAAATTGAAAATGATTTAATCGTTTTTTTTTTTCAATAAAGAAATTAATTATTTTAGAGGTTTTATTCAAAAATATTGATTTCTTTATAAGATTTTACTAAATAAATCAGCAACATAATCATTTTTTGATTGAAGAGATAAAAATTTCATTTGGTAATTAATATTTTATTTTTAAAATGATGAACTATCGTTTCAACTAACACTATCAAAAAAAGAATCAAGAATTTTGAATTCTGTTGGATTTTTATTCATCTATGTAAAAGATATTCTTTACTCGTTCGTAAATAATTTGTGATAAATCTATTTTCATGTGATTTCGAGAAAGGAAAAACTGAATTAATATTAAACAAAATTAACATATGGTTTATAGACGTTTGTTTTTAAATATTATTTGTATGGAACTTGGAGTAGTTTTTATGGGTGACCATCTCATCTATTCTCTAGTAAAGACAGCATTTTTGTCATCGAGAAATACAAAAATAAAACTGATTCTGCTTATGATTGTTTAAGAATGTAAAAATCTATCATATTTAAGTTTGATGTCAAATTTAATATATATATAATAGGAATAACTATTCATATTTTCTTGGATCTCGTAAATGATCAAAAAAGAATTTGAAGAAAATTTCAATAAAGAGTTCTATGATAGTAACAAATCTATCTTTGTTCAAATATTCGTTCGAATCATATAACACCACCTTTGACATTTTCACAAATGCAATTTTTTGCATGAATATTTGAGTTAAGTTAACAACAAATATTATCATTTCTTATCATATCTTTCTGCTTGTTATAAAAATAGTTTTGAGTCAGTTACTAACTGCTACTATTTGCATTAGACACATTCAATCTAAATGATACTTATAATCAAGTCGAATGTTGTTATTTAGAAGTCATTTATAGAGGACGTCCATACATTTAATATCAATATTTCTTTTTTTTTCACAGGATTTTCCGCAAAATTTTGAAGTTTACATTATTTTGAATAATATTTTTAAATAGGAAATGAATTGAAGACTGTGCTACATAAACAGATAGTTATTTTTCTTATCATTTGTATTGAACTTCACTTTTTATGCTTACTATTTTCTGCTCAATAAAATGTATTTAAAAAAACAAAAACTTTCCAATAGGTTCTATTTCATGACATGGTAAGCATCTATGTTAGTTGAACTAGGATCAACATCAACGCCTAATGAAGCATAAGTTTTAGTTACAGCTAATGTTACTAGTGCATCATGTTGATCACAGGTCAATAGATCAACTACAATATCTGCTTTACTTCCAATTCCTTAAGATTAAACTAGTCTTCAAATAACAATAAATTTTCTTAATATACTATTAATCGATTTATATTTCAACCTATGATAGTCAAAATATTGCTAATGTTAATTTGCAATGCACCAGTATGAGACAATCATTATAGAAATATATTTTTCTGAAACAAAAAAAAACTCTTCGGTAATTCGTTTTTCCGCAAATGATTATGGCGTTATAGAGAAAAAAAGAATAATATGAAGAATATGTTTTCTCAAGTAAAATTCTCTAAAGATTATGTGTGATTATGATTGTAATAGAGAACAATTCGTTCGATCCATCTTACAATTTATTAACTGGTGTTTATTTGCATATCTCTAACTATGTACTATCATTAAATTTAAACTGTAAGTTTTAAATATAAAACAAATTTGTTGAAGAGTAACATATATATGTTAACTTTTCTGATAAATCATTTTTGTTTTCTGCCGGATAAGATACAGTAAAAAGTGACCGATAGTAGACAATTATCAATAGAACGGCGGACGAAGAATAATCAACATTATAGATAAATTAAAATTTTTTTCCTATATAATAACCTTCTTCTTTTCTTTTCAATAGGCAGAAACGTCTGTTGATATATATATACATATAAGTAGTATCAGTATCATCGATACATCATATCATTATAATTATGGCTAGTTTTTCTATATCAGGTAGTACTGGTAAACAAGTATTTATTTCTCTTCGGGGTCTTTCTCATGAAATATGTGTTGCAGCAACTCAAACTTCATATTGGCAACAGGTTTGTTTTTGAGTTCACTAAAAAGCATTAAAAAATCCTTTTTTTTGCTAGTTAACAAATAATTCAAGTATTACAATAACATGTAATGGAAAATATATTCCTGTTGAATTGGAATCTTTTTGCAATGATGATGATGAACCGCGACTTCATTTAGTAATTCAGTCTCAACACGAACGAGATAATAAACAATTTGATAGTATGTTTCTATTTTATTAATAAAATGAAAGTTTAAAAAATTTTCTACATATATAAGTCATTTGTACACGAATTCATTACGATTTAATATCATTTGAAAATAATGATCATCCGATTTATGATGTAATGAAATGTTGTTTTTCTTGTTATGTCAAAATATTTTATTTAAAATATTTTTCTAGTTTGTTAATCATCAAGTAATAGTTCATGGTTCTTTATTTAATTCTCTTCCGATTGAGATGTTTGATATTGAACGATATTTATTAGGTCAACGAGTAAGTCAAAGAAAACACAATTAACATCATAGATTTTTTTTTCTACGTAGAACTGTAACATTAAAAAAATAAGAAATTCATTAACTTGTTCAATTTCTGTTGATCCATCAATGGCACCTAGATATCGTTTTGTAATATAGTAAGTTTGATGTTTTTTGTTTTTTTCTTTTATATTTGATAGTGATGTCAAATGTAATATACAAACAATTCTTTTTCTTTTAGTCATGAAAATCAAACTATTATGGATCTTGCAGCAATTCAAATTCAAGCTCTTGTAAAACAAGCACAATACCATTATCTAATGACATATGCTACTAAAATCGGACGAACTTTAATTGGTCCTATGGAAAAAATGGAAACTAGTAAGTAATTTAATAACAAGAACAAAATGAAAGAATATTTAATAAGATTAAAATCTAGCTATTTTATCAACAGATCCAGAAACATATCCATCATTTACACCATTTCAACCTATTGTTAAACGAGTATGAAAAGAAATTTATCGATAAGAGTTATGAATTTTTTTTTTTTGTCAGAGACGTACTGAAGATGAACAACAACAACCAACAACAAGTGGTAGAAGTTCAATACAGTTCAAAAAAATTTGAATCATACTTATGTTTATTTGTTTAGGTCAATTAAACATTGATTCTGATCAAAGTGATGATGAAACAATACCAGATGAAAGACGGTATAAAACTGAAGGTTTTCTTTCAAATTCTACTTTACATAATTCTCCAACATTGGAAGATCCTGATCATATTTCAAGTCATCTATCATCCCTCTTAGATGGTGTTTTTCTTGTTAAGTTATAAATATTAATTCAGATAAGTGTGTATAAAAATAGTATTGATTTTTTTTAAAAGAAGAGAAAAAAAAATGAGTATATTTAATTGAGTTTTTCATTTACATGGGTACCTCGTAGACGCTTGGTAGTCTACGTCAAATGTGCTAAAAGGCGCTTGGTAGCCTCAATGAAATTGGTTTATGCAATCATAACTTTTGATACTAATTGATTGCCATGAAAGTAATAATAGCACAATGGATATTAATATCAATTTTTTCACATGAATGAAAAATTTGGAGCTATAGAATAAATTTGTCTTAAGGTCATGTTTTGATTCTGTTTTAAAGAATCAAAAAAAATGACACAACACTTAATATATAATTTATCCAACTGACTAGTGCAAGAAGTTTTGCAACTGATAAATCGTTTTTTTGAGTCGAGACTACACAGATAATGCAGTACTAAATTACCTATGAAGCGTCTTACAACATGAGAGAAAAATATTTTTCGAATTTTCACTCGAAACTTTATAGAAAAGATAGTGTCAAGAATAATAGTAGTTTTGTGAATATTTCTGATCTTATTGTTGTTTGTTTATCTTACGATTCAGTTATGTTAAAATATTGTGTTCTCTATGGTTCACATAGAACATCAGGTTCCATATTCATATTGAAAGATAGAAAGACATCAGAAGATCTGAATTATTCCCAATAAGTTAATGTTATACAGTTGCATTTAGTTTTCAATCGAAACTCAAAAAACATTTTTCTTCCTGTTTTTGTGGAGATCTGCGATATCCGTTTACAAACTACCGCGATTTTACTGTATGTTCGACAGAGTAAATTAAAAGTTTGAAATTATCAGTATATTTACAACCGATTTAGTTTCTTATGATGCCCATAGTCGCGAACCAAAAGCGTGTAATCATTTGACAAACTTCCCTTGTTAAGCTTGTTATAAATCGAGTAAAATCGATGAGTATTTAGGAATATAGTCCTTGTTGTCTTGTAGATACTAGAAGAAATTATCTGTGCTAAAAGTATGCGTTTTACATTGTATGGTTGCGGCAAGTAGAAAGAACACGGTTTCTATAGACGTTTTGTTTTCAATTCTGTTATTAGAATTGAAAAAGAACAAACTTTTTTGTTCGATGATCTGTATTAGATTGAAAGCTAAGGAATATAAATCAATTTAGAATTCATTTATACGAATAAAAGAATGAACCCTTTTCCTAGACAAAATTTGTGTTTAATTTTTTTTATAATGTTATATGTATATATAGAGAACAACGTCGTGAACAAGTTGAACAGCTTCTTAATCGTATATGCGAACGAATGCAAGGTCGTACACCAAAAGATGATACAGGAAAAGCTCGAGAAGATCCTAGTCAAATAAAGTCGTACTTTCGCAATACTAGTGCATCAAAAGCAGCTAGTAATGAATCGGAATTTTCGATTGAATTAGTTGAATATGAAATTGATTTACGTACACGTGGTATTAATGCACATAAATGTACATTAGTATTCAATAAACAATTAAAAATGGGTGCTGGTATTCGTGATCGTTTGAAGAAAACTGCTAAAGTACGTGCTTATGAAAAATTAAAAACAATTACCAGAGATACACCAAGAGAAAATCTTATATTAAAACAGACACGAGATGGACTTTGGAAAGTTGTTATTAAATCTATGGACAATCAGTAAATATATCTATGTTTGTTATTCGTTTGTGTGTACTTTTTTCTACGATCGAATAAAAGAAAAATTCAGTCGATACATTCTTTATTTTTTTTTGTTGTTGAATGTATGGACGTTAGCAAATAAATGTAAAGATACTGCGTCATTTTGCATTTCTTTGCTTCATTTGAGTCAGCATTTGTTATATACATAGGCAGCAAAATCGATTTTTTTTTAAATTGATTCAATATGGCGTACGTACGCATAAGTTTTATTGTTTTAGCTCTTTTTGTGCCATTACTTATCGATTGTAGATGTAAGTGAATTTGAACTATCAATTTGAAAAAAAAGATATTTTTTTAATAATATTTATTAGTTATCAATTATGGAATATGTCGTCCTGATGAATCATATAGTCTTTGTAGCACACAGTGTGAACAGACATGTGCTGATAAAGATACATGGCAACAACCATGCAATCATATGTGTGCTATTGGTTGTTTTTGTATCGATGGTTATGTACGACAAAGTGATAAGAATAGTCCATGTATTAAAAAAAGTGAATGCTAATGTTATTCTTTTTACTCATTTCAAAAAGATTTTTTTATTAAATATTATTTTATGTTTTTTTTTGTAATTGCGTCTTTGATAATGTTTTCAAGTTAAATGAATAATAAATATTCGAATAAGAAAAATAAGATAAGAGTTGAAATGGAGCTAATCGACATTCGACAAAGTGTTTTAGAGTAAGGTTTTCTGAGGTTTATTTTATATGAGAAAGGATGGCATTTAGTGTCTTCCATAAACAACAGAAGAAAAAGAGATCATGTCGACTTTTATAAAAAAAAGAAACTATAATGATTCATTCACTTTTCACTTGATGTCTTTTTGCTTCTAACATTCGACGGATCTCGCTCAGTCTACGTTTACTTGTTGTAATCATGGTTTTATACATGAATGCCTTTTTCCATCATGATAATAGATGCTCGTCTTTTTGATAATTGATTTTCTTCTTGTATTCAGTTACTTTGCCACATATAGTTCATCATTTATCGATGACCTATTATTAAAAACGAATTCTTCTTGTAAACAAGTCCTTTCACTTATGTGATCTGTTCTCAATTCTAATAATAAAATTGTTCGATTATGATCAAACGGATTTTCATTCATGAGCTTTTATAAGTAACAATATTTTGAAACGTCGAGATCTTATTAATTGTCGGAATATGAATTTCTACCCGGTGACCCGATCCGACTGCAGGATACTAATCATTTCACAATTTGGATAAGAGCGAAAAATTCACTCATTATTTTGTAATATGTTAAACTTTCGAATGACATTATACCGATTAATGAAGCAGATAAGAAAAATATCATTTATAAAGTTTATCATAATATTAAAAAACAATACCCTTCATAAAATCAAAATCAATCATCATTATTTTTTATTTTGTTACAAATGAATGACGGTATGATACTTCAAACTCAATTTGGATCCTCTCGTAATGTTGATCCAACTATTGTTTCTATACCATCTGTTACATCACTACCATCATTAGTACCAAAAAAGAAAAAATATTTTTATCAATATGTACTTTTTGGTATAATTTGTCTTTTTTTGCTCGTTATTCTTATTCTGGCAGCTATAATTGTTTCAAAAATTGATTCATATTCTGCAATACGGATTGAATCATCATCATCATCAACAACAACAACAACACCAATTACTAATCAACCATCGAAAAAAAATCAATCATCTTCATTAGTTGATTCAATTACACTGGAACATATGCTTATTCATCTTCGTCAATTTCAAAGTCGTGCTATAGGAACAATGTCATTTAATCGAACAATCGATTATCTTACATCACAATTAAATACAGAAAACAATTTTATTGTTGAAAAATATTATTTTTCTGTTCCTCGTACTGAACTCGCTGAGTATCCAATTCTTATAGCTTTCCCTAATAAATCCAATGCATCCATATTTACATATCCAAAAGATTTTGTACCTATGGATCGATCAGCTGAAGCTCGAAATTGGTCATTTATTAATGGTCGACCATTGTCTGTTGTTGCACGTTTAGGCTGTTATTTGAAGGATTGGAATACGACTAAAGAAGGTGATGTAGCTTTAGTTCGACGAGGTAATTGTACATTTACAGATAAAATTCTTTTGGCAATGAATAAACGAGTTAGTGCATTTCTTGTTTATAATGATGGACTAACAATGGAACGTCTTGAACCATTAAATAATATTCGAGCACCAAGAAATAATACTTTGCCAGCATTATTTCTTTCATATGCAGCAGGCATGCATCTTATTCTGGAAAATACTTCTCGTATTTATATGCGATTAGAATTTCGATCACTACCACCGACTATTGTAACTAATGTATGTGCAGATACAAAAGTAGGCGATTCAAATCGAACAATTGTTGTTGGTAGTCATAGTGATAGTGTATCGACAGGTAATATTTTGTTTTTTTTAAATAATAAACAAAAAAAATAATTTTTCGTCTTTCGTATTTGTTTATTCTTAGGTCCTGGTCTAAATGATAATGGAAGTGGCATGGCAGCTACATTAGCCATTGCATTGAATTTAGTTCGTTTACTTGTTCATTCAAATTATGCAACAAATATGCGTTCACGTATTAAATTTTGTTGGTGGGGTGGCGAAGAAGCTGGTCTATTAGGTTCAACAGATTTTGTACGACGAGCAAAAATAGATGGTTCACTTGGATTGTATTCTGTAAATCTTAATTTTGATATGTTAGCATCACCAAATTTTTTTTTCGGTATTTATGATGGTAAGACGGCAAATAATGAAACAACACCAGCACGTGCTCTACCTGGTAGTAATCGAATAACACGTTTATTTATTGATTATTTTGAACAAAATCGTTTACCGTGGGATTATACAGAGTTTGATGGTCGAAGTGATTATGGTCCATTTCTTGCTGAAGGTATAGCTTGTGGTGGTTTGTTTGCTGGTGCTGACGATACTAAAACTCAAGAACAACGTGATCGATATTTAAAAATGTTAGGTTCAACATTAGGTGGAATGGCAAATACAAATCATGATCCATGTTATCATGGAAAATGTGATACATTAGAAAATCTTAATACATTTGCTTATTTACATATGGTTAAAGCTGCCGCCCATGCTATTGATTTTCTTGCACAACTTCAAGATCTTAATCAATGGCTTTATCCCTAGAAACTAATTTTCTTTTTCAAATTAATATTTGATGACAACCTATATCAAAATATCTGAGAAAACTAAGCTATTCTTGTACATCTAATCGATAGTTGATTTATTTTAAAAGTATAAATAGATGTGCTTTCTTGAAATAGATCAATAGATTAAAAGCTATACATTGAACGATGTTAGTCAATCTGTGGGAAAAAAACGTCAAGAAAATGTCAATAAATTTCAACCAAATACTTGTGAATGGAAAAGTGTTCATTTTCAATTGTTTTTTTTTGTATAATCAATAATGAAGACATAATTTTGCTTTTTTCTGTTTGATAAAGTAAGACAGAGATACTTCATTGATAGAGTAACATAGCATGAGGCATACAATACAAGAACATCTACCTGTGATTAGTCTGCCTCAGATAAAAAAATATCTTTTTCCAATTTCTTTTTTTTATTACCTAATACAATGTAAAAAAAACAAAACCTACTACAAAATGCAGCATGAAAAACTTTAGAATTTACAAAGAACAGCTTGTTTTATATTTATACAGTTTGTTTTCAAAATGGATGATCAAGTAATGAATCATTCTTTTTTGCCTTTATCCTTTTGTGTATTATTGTGATTGGAACATATGTCGATTGATATATATTCGACCATCAATTATGAGTTTCGATGGAACTCATCAACCGAAGTACTAAGAAAAGACATTTATATTGTATCAAAAAATGATCTTGTTCGTAGCATCAAAAATTAGCTGTAAAAAATTTTGCTCATTTCGAAAACTAAAAGGATGGGTGTGGATCTTCTCCTCAATCATAATATTACACTCATAATCACACTACACATCTACAGTCACATCCCATACCCACACATATGCACACCAAAATCCATCATAAAAGGGATGTCTGTTGTTGTCTATGATTGTTAGTCTTAGGTCTTTTACTGAAGATGAAATACATGTTTGAATTCTTCTTTCCAAGATAAAGCCGAACTCTTCGTCACCTAAATACCTTTATCACTACACGATTTACGAATAAGTATGTACATTATTCTCTCGAAACGTTTTCCAGAATTAAGTCGAAGTAAGGTCGATCTAAGTTTACGCACTTCTGGATGTAATTCATATTTCGATAGACAAATCACTTAAACATAACTGCTTTTCTAAAGACAGCGTTCTGTTCCCAAAATTATGTTATATGCTATAGTGATAATTTGTTGGTTTTCAGCTGGAAATTGATATAAGTGAAAAAAACAAGCAACAGCTCATTAGCTGTCGGTTTCGTTTTTGGTGCATATTTCTTGCTTCTTTTCAACTTCTTCTAATCAGATATTTTTTATGGAAGTATTCAATAGCTGAAAAATAATTTTATTGTATTTTAATGCATCTCCATGAGCTCAGCTACTCGAGTCCAATGATGTTTCATATAAATTTACAAGGGTATCAGCAATTAACGGGTAACCTTTTATCACATCTGTGGTAGCAGCAAAATTTTTCAATGTTTTAGTTTTATCGGCAGAAATAAAGATTTTTCATTTGAACAGATATTTTTCAGGGATAAGTATTTTCTAGATGTCTTTTTTTCCTACATTTTCTATATCGTTTTCGTGTCAATCGTTGCAGAAGACCTTTTAGATATTGATTAGTTGGGATAGATCATCTCACAATCATTATAATCCAGCCAACTTCTCAATTGAGATTCACTAGCATTAATTTGCCTACAAAGGCCAATCTGCATGTAGAATCTATGTAAGTGCAATGGCAAACGATAGTGTACGGCCGCTTACGTTGAAAACTACGATACAATATGGAATATTTTCCATCAGAGATAAATTTGAATTCTCGCATAGGGCTTAGTCAACACCCTAAAGTACTACGTCTTGTGTTCTAGATGTGCCGTGGTGTATTGATTAGTTCTTCATTCATTGCTTTGTTGTGCAGTAATAATCTTTAGTCGAAAACACATTGAGAAATCGATCAATGATCAAGACTGGGTCACTTCGAAGTCGTCTGAACCTGATCAAATTAATTCAAGGCGGCTAAGTGTTATGGCCTTACGGTCTTGTATTCCAACAGTAGATATTAAGATTTCCGTTTCAACTGGAAGAATAATAATTATTCGATTTTCCAGGAAAAAAAACAGACGTACGGAAGGAGAGATTTGAATCACGTTTTTCAGAATGTGTCGCAAACTCGGTGGGAAAAATTCATCGTAACGAACACTTCATGTCGTAAGATACGACACTACTGTTGATTTATTTTTGTATAGAAGAAGTTTCCGGGATGCATCTTGAAGCGTAAAGACAAAACTTATTTTATCTGCTTTGGATATGAATATGTTCTTGATCAATACGCACATTTCATAATGATTCACCCAGATATATACACGAAAAATGATCTTAACTTATTACCAAAGCTTATTCAATACATTTAAGTCTGCTTTGAACGTCTCAATAAGCTCAGTGACAAACATAATAAGTACATAAAATCAAAAAGCTCGTCAGCACAGCCTCGTTGAAGCTAAAATGTGAAACTCGCATGTGTTGTTATATATCCTTATACTGATGCAGAATGTGTGAAGTAAACAATATCTAGCAGACTAAATGTTTTTTTTCCAAGGATAATTGATCTCTAGGAAAACGGTAGGTCTGATTTATTTCTGCATTTCACATAGGAATTTTTCTTTTTTCTTTTTTTTTACTGACACGTTATTTTTTTTTGTTTGCCTTATTACTATTCACTTATTGTTTTTCATTTTATTGATACATTTTCCTTAATTTAACATTATAATTATGCTAACCATTGATTTATCTGACAGATAAGCCTGTTGTAAGTTATCCATTATATCTATAGCAGATCATAACACATCATTATATTTCTCGATTATTTTTGAGAGTTATAACTTGATCACATGACGACGATGGCAAATCAATGAATTAGTACTAATCATCCTTGACCTCTATCATATAGCTTTGTATCTACGTAAAAATAAAAAAAACTGCACTATTAAAAACATTCGAAAATGTATTTCAGATTGTGATATTTTAATGAAGGCTTTCGAATGTTCTAAAACTTGTTCGAACTATCTAAATGTTGTCGTTAATACCATACAATGTCTTTTGGCGTTACTAACAAGCTCTAAGAACAAAGTTTAATGCCTGTTATCCTCGATTGCTATATGAAGATAAGGGAAGTTGAAAAACTTCCACTTAAAACTTATTTCCATCGAAAAATACATATATGCAAACTCCACAATAAATAAATATCTGCTGAAGACTATCCTTGTTTGTCAATTACAGAGGCAGAATAGGTAAATTTATTGACTTGCATGCTGTTTACTTTACAATTATTCATTACCGATAAACAACGAAAATTTCTATATCATTATGATAGTGTCGCAAAAGCAAAGTTATTTTTGAAATAATGCACTATCATCTATGACCTGAACTCTACTTAATATCTTATCTCTATTTTTCTACATATGTCATCATGCTTCATACTCATTTAAAAGCATACTCCGTTTTTCATATTGTCTGCAGTTACCATATTTACGAAGTAAATATAATAAACACTGTTTTCTATCTTATCATCATTTGTTTGAGTTCATTTAGGATAAAACAACAAAAAGAAAAACAATGAAAGTCTTTATTACTCTATTACTCGTTACTTTAACAGTAGCTCGTGATATTTCAAATTCACGATGTTCAAAACGATTAGTAGCTGCTGGTCTATCATCAAATTATAATGAAACTATTGGTCATGCTATTCATTCAATGACAGTTCAAGGTTTACAACTTTTCAATCCAAATGCCAATGAACATAATACAATTCCAACTGTTAACCATAATCTTCATGATAAAAATGGAGTTAAAGTTCTTATGTATGCACCAAATGATCCACTTCCATCAGATTATTTTGATTTTACAATGAATATGATCGATAAAGTTTGTTTGATTTATACAATACAAAAAAAATTTCTCATATATGTTTTGTTTTTTATATTTTTAGATTCTTTCAATGATCGGTAAATCAGATGATGGTCTTGGTGCTCATTGGTCATCAACAGAACGTATTGCTCATAAATTTCATATGTGGGATTTATGGCTTCGTCTTCAAAAAGAAGTTCGCGAACTTACATCAAAACCAACACCATCAGTTTGCAAATGTGTTTTGGATGTTGAATCAAATGGTGTTCTGCAAGCTGTTCAATGGATTGCTGCACATTACGAATCAGGTACACCTATTACATTACTCGATCGTCCTATTCCAAAATTAGTTGATTATGAAACATGGGCTTTCTGGAAAAAGGATCTTCTTCATTATTATACACCTGAAGCTCTTCATGATGCAGCTGTTTATCTTTATTGTGCTACAAAAGATTTTTAAAAAAGTAAACAATAATATACTGCATTGTTTTTTTTTCTTTGAATAAATAACTTAATCATAAACATCCAAGTGAATATGCTCATTCTTATATTATTTATCGATAGAATTGTCATAGCACTTTGTTATCATATCTTAGTTCTTGAATATTTCTTTCGAGTTTCTTATTACCTATCAAGATGTGAAAACAGACGTATCGAAAAAAACTAATTCTATGGAGATCATGATACCGTAGTTTCCAAACTATGAACATTTCAATTAATAAATTATTGAAATGTTTAATAATGAGATCTGTCTATTAATAATAATATTGATAGATATAATCGTGGGAATAGAAAATTATATTATTTCTTGATCAATGGACGTTAATTAGTAAAGTAACATCATCAACAGAATCTTTTATTTGTTATTATGAATACGAAAAAGATACAGAAAAGGCAAGTATCAACAAGATGATAACCAACTCATGTCGCCAAAAAGAATATATATTAAAGATAAAGATTTTGATGTTTATCGAAAATTTTTAACAACTATCTCTCATCGTTATTTCAACAAGGTGAAAACAAGTCAAGGATTGTAATGATGAATAATAATTTGTTTTTTGGTGTATTTATTTATTAAAAATGAGATCAACTT